AGAAACCATGGTGTGATGGCTCCAGCCAGCTGCTTAGTGGAGATCACTCAATGAGCAGCCCTGTGGTCTTAGAATATATGCCCTAGAACATACCGCATACCCACTCTCCCCAGAAGGCCAGTCTTTAAATGCTCTTATAGAAGACTTCAGGAGGTGCAGACCAGACACCTACTCCCCAAGGCAGCTTATTGGCTCTGCTGTGTTCTAATAGGCAGGACTTGGTTTGAGTGTTTCTCAGGGGAAGTAATCATGTCTATAGCATTCTTTCAAGAGCTCAGGGTGACCAAGGAAAGGCTCCTGGGGGTTCCTTGTTGGAACAGATCTTGTAGGGTTGATTGTCACATAAATGACTGAAGAGGGAAGGAGCCGCTTTGCCATCCAGTGGGAGCTGTAAATGTTTGTGGGAGGCAAGAGTCTCAGCCCCCGAGCAACCAGCTGTGCTGGCATCAGGGTGGTCCTGGCTGCTTCCTGGTGACTTTGCACTGTCAAGAGGCTGCGTGCTGAGGCTGGCTGCCTGTCCCCATATGTGCTCTCACACGTACCTAGTGTAGAGATTGTAATAAATACCTGCCCATGTTTATACAAGTCAATGAGCTTTGGTGACTTGGGTTTTACAGAAACAGCATCCAAAAGGGGACTTGGTACCTAGTTGCCTGTTGACTTTGAAACGAACAGGGGCTTAGGAATACCTGGCCTTGCCAAATGATGTCAGAAAGAGGGCCTGGTAGTGATGATGGTGGTGGTGGTGTGTGTGTGTGTGTGTGGTTGTGTGTATGTGTGTGTGTATGTGGTATGTGTGGTATGTGTGTTATGTGTGTGTATATGGTATTATGGTGTGTGCATGTGTGGTGTGTGTATATTAGGGGTGGTGCGTGTGTGTGGTGTGTGTATATGTGCTACATGTATGCATGTGTACATGTGTGGTGTATGTGTGGTGCGTGTGTGGTGTGTGTGTTTTCCATAATGTAGCTTACCTTGAAAATTTTAATGGAGAGAAGTCCCCTCTATTTGAGTGATACTAGAGTAAATATAATTGCGGTCTCTTCCCTCCGAAGCAGTCAGAATATACACAGCTCTAAGAAAATCCATAAAAGATCCAGAAGGAAGTTGAAAATGGTTCTCACCAGTGCCTTAGTTTTATAAGAGGAGAATTTCTGTAAGCAGGAATGAGCAGATGGGATTTCACCCGTATCTTTGAGCAAAGCACACATCTCACAAATCAGCGTGAGGGAGGAAGACTTTATGCTGGCTCTCAGTTGGAGGATGCCAGCCTCCGTGGCCAGGGAAGACACATCAGCAAAAGCATCTCACAGCTGTGGCAGTAAGAATATGCAATGATTTGCCTTTACCTGGGTGGATCAGGAAGTAGAGTCCAAGCGGGAAGCCAAGGCAGCCTATAGAAACTTCAAGACCAGCCCCTTAGCATCCCATTTCCTTCTGCAAGGCCTTACCTTCAGACGTGCTACCAAGTATTGCAACTCATGAGTTCCTGGGGAACGTGTACCATAATCTGTCCCATGAAATGAATCCCACATGAGTCATACTGTCTGTGTCCTTGAAGAGCTATAAAAGGAAGAGTGTGTGGGAAAACGAATGTGGGATTGATCTCATGAGAAATGGAAGAACGCTTGTTCATAGTTCTCGAAAACAGATTCTGTAGCCACAAGTGGGTAGCAGTGGGTTGCAGTCAAGAGTGCCCGTGTAAAGCACTAGGCTAATAGAGACTGAAACCCAGACTTAACTCTCACTGATGCACAGTGAACCTGGCAGGTAAAACTTTAGAAACAAATGGACCCTGGTCCTAAAAACACAGAACGTGGCCAACATCACAGGATTGGGAGGAAGAGTGTGATCGTGGGAGGACGCTTCTGCAAGTTCAGGCAGGATCATTGTGATCAATCAGATGCCCAGTGTCCCCACCTCTGCCTGCCCATGTGCCCCCACAAACTACCAGAGACCATTTGAGATACTTTGTCAATTTACTGCAACCAAGAATCACCAACAAAGAGAGTCTCAGTGAGGGATTGATCTAGATTAGTTTGGTGTGTGTGTGTGTGTGTGTGTGTCTGTGTGTCTGTGCACACACACAAGCATATGTGTATGGTGTATGTGTATATATGTGTGGTGTGTGCATGGTGTGTGTGTAGAGTGTATGTGTGTGTGTGTCTGTACACACACACAAGCATATGTGTATAGTATATGTGTGTGTATGTGTGGTGTGTGCATGGTGTGTGTGTATAGTATATGTATGTGTGGTGTGTGTGTGGTGTTTGTGTGATGTGTGGTGTATATGTGTGGTGTGTATGTGTGTGCATGTGTGTATGTACATGTGTGTGTGCATGTAGGATTGTCTTGGTCATCTTAATTGGTATGAAAAGACCTAGATTAAAAGTGGGCAATGCCATCCCTGGGTCCAGGGCCCTGGCGTATGTAAGAGTAGAGAAATCTAGTTGAGCGGTAAGCGACCATGCCTTTCTCTTTATTCTTTTTCTGCTTCTAACTATGGACATGACTAGCTGCCTTGTGTTCTTCCCTTGACTTCCCTGAAATGGTGGACTATAACCTGGACCTGGAAGGCAAATAAACCCCTTCTCCTTTAAGTTGTCTGGTTCTGTTCTATCAGGATATTTTATGACAGCAACAGACACGAAACTCAAGCACTGTACAAGGCAGATGGAGTCTTCTTCTCAGGTGAAGTTAGAGCCACTCAGAACACATTTGCTGCATGTATTCACTCCCTCCAGGGAGATGCACACTCTGCCTTCGGCCCCTCCCTTCTCTCATGGCTAGGAGGCCCCCATCACTTATCCCACTTACCAGAAGAGCTTGGTGATTTTAAGCAAACTCAAAATCCATAGCAACCACCTCCCCCAGGGTGGGCGTGAGACCACCGGCCTGAGACTTCTTGGATACAGACTTATTTGTTTTGTACCTATCAAAGACCGCTGGGTCCAGGATTCAACCTCCTGCCCTCACACGGCTGAAAACCGTTCAGAAAACAGCCATGCAAGTGTCTGGTGGCTTGTCTCTCCTTTGGTTTCCTCCTGGAAACAGAACCAGAGCTTACTTGTGGTATTCAAGTGCCCTGAAGAAAAAGATCAGGGGGAAATGAACATCTGATTTACAGAATAGACCCCATACCGTTGATTGGAGATTATAAAACATCTTACAAGTAGAACCCCCCAGGATACAGTGCATCAGTCTACACTGGCTCCACCCTAGCCTCCAGTAGCTCCGAAAGAATGCTTATCCAAAATTGGGTCTGAGACTTTGTGTAATGAATGCTTCCTCTCCCTCTCTGAGGGAAGTCTTCAAATCTGCACACATTTGCTTGCCCACGACCCAGACAGACTTAACTGGTACTTCATACTGCTACTCTATTTACGTTGGGAAATTCCAGAAGCCCCATCTGGGGTGGAGGCCTGGGTGGGGCACCAGGAGGAGCTGTGGCTCATCACATCGGCATCATGTGGCGATGTCTTCTCTCTGCTCACAGTCTCCACCTTTCTGAACAGTGGGGACTTTACCCCTTACTTGGAAATGTTGGTGTCTCTTTCTCTTCTGTTTCTCCCTTGACTCTTTTCCTCGAAGTTCTTAAGGATTCCATCTTCTTTTCTTTAGTAATTGATAGGACAGGATGCAAGCTTGTCTGCAGAGGTGGTTTCCACGCTGTGAACCAGAGGCTGTTTTATTGTCCAGAGGGAGAGACATTGCTTAATAGCCCTGTCTCCCTGTACCTTCATGGAAACCTGTCTGCTTATGCTGAGTGAAGGCAGTCAATTGGCTGCCCAGGCTTTCCAGAAAGCATGACAGCTGCCCAGATAGACTCCTTTGTGACAAGCTCTGTAGGAGAACTAAACAAGACCAGACCCTTGGCTAAACTAAGGCTGAGAGTCTCATGGTTTCCAAAGTCACTGCGAAGGAGCCTTATCAGGTATCATAAACAGTAGAAACTATGTTTTAATATCCCATTTTAAAGAGATTATGCATGAATGTGTGTGTGTGTGTGTGATATAAATGCGTTGTTTTGCTTGCATTCCTGTTGCCGCGATAAAATATACTGACAAAAAACAACATCAGGGAAAAGGGGGTTTATTTTACCTCACAGTTCATCACCATGGGGAAATCAAAGCTCGAACTTCCAACAGCAGTTCATCTCACAGCCACAGCCCCAAGCCCAGAGAAATGACTGCATGTCTGTTGACTTGCGTGCTTGTCTACACTCAGCGTGATTTATCTACTCCCATACAACCCAGAACCCCCTGCTTAGGAATGGTGTCACCCACAGTGGGCTGGGTATTCCCACATCAGTTAACATAGCTAATACAGCCCACCACAGACCAGCCCAAAGGGCAGCCCAATCAACAGTCCCTCACTGGGGCTCTCTTCCCAGGTGATGCTAGGTTTTGTCAAGTTGCCAATTGAAGCTCACCATTACATGCTGTTAAATTAGAAAAGAAATCCAATCCTCTGATTGTTCCCTACCCTAGTGTACTTTCTTAATCAAAGGGCACTAGTATGTGTGACTTTGATCGTGTCCCATGGCCTTTCCAGGATTAAGTGGGATTAAGAGGGCCTTCATATTGCAGAGGCAGTCTCCTTGCTGAAGGACTGCAGGCAGGAGCCAGACCGTCCACTCTCAGAATGCTGTGATGGCTGGGAGGTTCCTTAGAGCCTGCAGAAACCTAGTGTAGGGATTTTTCCTTTGAGCAGACAGCCTGACACTTACTGTTTCTCCCACTAAGACATGACATCTTATTTGTTTTTTCTCTAAAAGAAGCATTTGGTGGCACAGTTGTCTATACAATAGTTCAGGTGCTATGACTAAAAAAAAAAAATCCTGTCGAAAAGCAAAGTAAGGTAAGCAAGGGCTTATTAGGCTTATACTTCTAAGTTTCAGTCTATTATAGAGTAACTGGTAAAGTCAAGAGCAGAGTCCAGGGACCCTTGCCTGCTTGTATATGTGGTTCTTAGCTAGCTTTTTTCTATTTTTTTTTTAGGATTTACTTTTATTTTATACATAGAGTATTTGTCTGCATGTGTACACTACATGCATGCCTGGTGCCCATGGAGACAGAAGAAAGGGTCAGATCCCTTGAAAACAGGACTTCCAAACTGTTGTGAGTCACCCTGGGGGTTCTGGGAGCTGAATCTGAGACCTCTGCAAGAACAGCCAGTGCTCTTAACATGTTCAGGGCCCAGCCATGAAACGGTACCAGCCACCTTCGGTGTGTGCCTTCCTACTTCAGTCAACAATCAAGACAGCCCCTCACAGACATGTCCACAGGACAGCCTCATCTAGAAACTTCCTCATGAAGACTTTCTTCCCCAGTGATTCTAGGCTGTGTCATGTTGACAACTGTAACAGATGCTGAGGTTTTGCTGCTGCCCGGGTTAGCTTTTGCTAAGATCAGCGGTTGGCTGGCTGGTCAATTGGAAACCCAGAGTCTTTGTCACCGGCCACGGCTCGGAGGAGGGCACAGTCAGGACCCTGTTCTGGATCTACCTCTGGGTCGTTCCTTACATTGTGCTGTTCTGTATCTCCTGAAATTAACGCTCTTTCTGTTTCTTTCAGATAACTTGTTCAAACCCAAAGAAAGGTGCATTTCAGAGAAGGAGATGCATATGAGGTCTAAAAGGTACTTGGCTCTTGCGGGAGGTGTGGAAAGAGCTGGGCGGGGAGGCTTGAAGGGCCCTGATGCTGCCCTTCGGGCCAAGGCTTCCGGGCCCACATCTAAGGGCTGAGGTCTTCTTGCCGGGCTGTGCATCAGAATGTTTATGCTGCTCTTGGCCCAACCTTAGGAAAGCGGTGGGTCTTGAATTCGGGAGCGGGCCCATAATTGGTCCCCAAGAGATCAGCAGGTTCTGCGCTGGAACTCTACCGATGCATTTGCCTCGTGGCGCTGGGCAGAAGCCATGAGCGGCGGCACCTTTGAAAGTCATTTTACGAGGAGCAGAGAACCCGTTTCCATGGAGGGCCTTGACTGGGGCGGTCCTGAGGAAAAGCTTCCAAACTGGAAGCCAGCAGAGCATGGGAGCCAGAGGGGCCTCGGAGGGGCCACAAACCGGCTTTTCTGGCATGTCTGTCTCCGGCAGTCTTGGCAGGGGCCAACAAGGTTCTCCCTGCTCTGCCTGGCTAGTCACTATCTAAGACTTTCACTAACTCTTACCACTCTGGGGCACACAAAGGCTACTGTTCTCTTTAGGACCTGGCCTCTTAACCAGGACACAAAAGCTCAGCAGGGTTGGCCATGTTCACACACATAAAATGTCATTAAGCTGTAAAAAAGTGCCTAGCCCTGGGAGAGATTATAGTAATTAAATCAAATTGATAGTGCACTCAGAGACACCACCGAAATAGGAAGAATAATTTTTCCCCCATTCCAGACCCTAAATCTCTGCTTTTATCGTGATTATGTTGTTCCATGATAATTAAGTAACTTTGGTTACCTACAGGGAACCTCTCTGAAAGTAAGAAAACAAGAATTGGGGGGCATACCATTAATGATATGACTCCCAGCATTCTAGCCGAGGCTTATAAAGGACCCTTCAATTTAAAGACTCGCTGTTTCATAAATGAAAAGTTGTATACACCTTGCAACAAAAGCGTTCTCTTCGATTTAATGGGGGAAAAATAGAAAAGAAAAAAGAAAGAAAAGAAACAATTTCCCTTATTGGTCCCCAAACCTAAAACTGCTATTACAAGCCCTTACCCACCAAACAATTTAATTAATGGGTTTCAAAGCAGCATTGGTAGACAGAGATCTGTCCTGGCATGTCTCTGAAAAAGAAACTGATGTTGAAGGAGGACCAGTAAGTTAGGTGATGCTGGATCTACAGTCTTCCATGGCCCTTAACTGGTGTCCTGGGATGGACTAAGCAATTGGATCTCTTTGCTAGTAGAATGTTCTGGCTGGGCTCTGACCCTGGCTCTCCACAGTCACCTGAAACTGCTTTTTCTTCGTATTTCTTGTCTTGGATTATGTTGCTTATATTTTCATTGAAATCAAGCAGTAGATTAAAGCTGAAGTTCCCTCCAGATCACTGCACCCGCTGCCTTTGGCTCAGTCCCAGACCTATCTGCTAGGGTGCTCACAGTCTGTCTCCTCTCTCTTTCCCTTCAGAGCCTCCCATTTGTACCTTTAAGCAGACACGTGGTTTTTAACCACGTGTGGTGTCATACTGTCCTTGCCTTTCCTTCTATAGCTTGCTATTTTCTGGTGTCATCCATGAGCTTTTCCAAGATGCAGATTTCTGTCCTCCTAGGTTTTGTCTGTCTGCACAGTGTATTTTTGGTGGGCATAATATTATATATCGGGCTCTCACTGGAGGAAACAGAGCAGGGCCAGAGCTGGGACATGGAAGCTTTTGTTTCCTCTTCCCAGTTGAGTTGGATGGACAGCTTAAGGAGAGAAGTTTCTGGAGCTGAGAAACTGCCCTCTTGAGGGATTTGGAACCGGCCCCTCCATGGTCTTCTTTTTTTTCAGGACAACTGGATTTAATATGGTTTATAAATATACTTAAATCTTTTTATTTTTTAATCTTTTATCATTTTTTAACAAAATAAAATACAATAAGGAAAAACAAAAGCCATCACGTTGAAGTTGGACAAGGGAAACCAACAGTAAAAGAGCCCCAAGAGAAGGCACTAGAATCAGAGACCCACTCTTTTGCATAGTCAGGAGTCCCAAAAAATACTGAACTGAAAGCTGTAATATTTATTCAGAGGACCTGGTACAGACCCAAGCAAGCCCTGTGCTTGCTGCTCCAATCTCTGAGTTCATATGAGCTTTGCTTTGTTGGTTTAGAGGGCTTTGTTCTCCTGGGGTCCTCCAACCCCTCTGGTTCTTTCTGCCTCCTCTTCCATGGGGTTCCTATGTGCTCTGAGGGGAAAGGAGTTGTTCTTTGAGATTCCGCCTTACCATGTGAAGACCTTACCTGTGTGCTCCTTCCTGCTGACGAGCCAGGTTGCCCGCACCCCCACCCCAACACCTGCTGTCTTGTTCCTCATCCTGCCCTCTGTCTGTTTCAGAATCTATAATAACTTGCCGGAAGTTAAAAAGAAAAGAGAAGAGCAAAAGAAGAGAGTGATCTTACAGAGTAACAGACTCCGAGCAGAAGTCTTCAAAAAGGTAGCTCGCCTGGCACATGCAGGCATGGGGGTGGTGGTGCACAGGATAGGGGAACTTGACATCTTTGTTTCCGTTGTTCCTCCAGCAATTACTGGACCAGCTCCTTCAGAGAAATGCCGTCTGATCCCAAGTGGCCCTGCTAGCCACAGCCTAGATCTGGGAAGACGGCCGACGTTGGATGAGCCATTAAACTTAACACTATCTTCACATGTGAAAGATACTTTTATTTTACTTTTTTTTTCTTTCTGAAAGACCCAAACAAACAAAAGCAACAGTCCTGGAGTCAATAGATCAGCAGTCCATTGCTGGGACTTCTGTTACTCAGAACCTGCTAGACACCCCACCCCACCCCCTTTTTAATTATTATTATTGTTATTATTTTGACTTGTGGATTTTACCCATTGCTTCTGAAGTTTCCAGGATACCATTTCCACCCAAGCAGGAAAGCTTTGTATATTCAAGTATGCTTAGATGTTGGGTTTTTTTTTTGGGGGGGGGGGGTGCAGTGCTTTTTTTTTAATCAAATTTTTGAGAAGCAAAAATCTATCATATTTTAATTCTTAATCCCAATGGCCTCCAATTCTGAAATCCAAAGTCTGCTTATCATACACACCTTGGAGCACCAGAGACTGACTTTGAAATGGACAGGCGAAGGGGCAGAGCACAGGCAAGCCCCAGAGCCCTCTGCCTCTCTTCCACCCTACCCCACAGAGCCTGCTTTTGTCAGCCAAAGCCCTTGTTTCAGTGGGAGCCCGAGAATGACTGGGTGAGGACATCAGTGGTTTCAGCACACACACACACACACACGTATGCACGCACACACATGCAAACGCACGCTGGAAGTTATCTGGATCAAATGGCCTAGCAATACCCACCCTCATATTTTCTTTCAAGTATTCTTCATAAATATGCATTTGTGGATTTAAGAACAAATTAGTTTTGCAACAAAAAATGGAAATAAATACAGCTATTTGAAATCCATGCATTTCTCTGCCATGTATTCTGCTCAGTGTGATAATACCTGCTACAACTCTCGGGTGACACCGAGTCTCTTTCTATTCCACCTCTGGTCACCATAAAAGTCCCTGTGTTTCTGAATGCAGGGCAGAAAAGGTTGCCTCTCCGGCTGGTGCAAGAGATGCAGGATTGACTGCCCAGGCAGCTTATAGGAGCCTGGAAACAGCAGGGGCTTGGAGCATGGCACAGGCGCTCTGGTGACACCTCTGTCCCTACTGTAAGGTGGCTCCCTTCCTCCCTCTCCCACTGCTGCACACAGCCTCTCTTTCTAGACCACTGTCTTTTTTTGTATTTGTTGCCAAACTTACAAACTCTACCTGAGGGACCGTCTTGTCATTGTTCTCTCTCTGCTATGCCCTCCGGCAGCCGGCGCCTTCCCTTTCTCCTTCCTTCTGCTTCCTTCCTTCCTTCCTTCCTTCCTTCCTTCCTTCCTTCCTTCCTTCCTTCCTTCCTTCCTTCCTTTTGTTCCCTTCCTTTCTCAACTCTTTGTTTCTTTGTGTGTATCTGTTTCTGTGTGTATTCAAATATGTGTGCTCACATATTCAGGTGCAGGTGTGTGTAGGTTCATATGTGTTTACCTGAGGAGGCCAGAGGACAATCTTAGGTATCAAAGTTCAGGCACTAACCATCAAAACAAAATGAAACAAACAAACAAAAAAAAAACCAAAACGCAAGCAAACAAAAAACTCATTTTACATGTAAAAGGAGAAAAAATAAGTTTTTTTTAAAAAAATAAATTAAAAAGAACCCTCACTGACCTGGAGCCTGCCAAATAGACTGGGCTGATGTCCCCTGACCCCCAAGTATCTACCTATCTCAGCCTCTCCAGCACCGGATTATAGAATGGCATTTAAAAACACTAAACAAACAAATAAAAAACAAGCAAATAAGCCAAGCGATGATAATACACTTCTTCAATCCCAGCACTGAAGAGGCAGAGGCAGGCAGATCTCTTGGTTCGAGCCCAGCCTGGTCTACAGCGCAAGTTCCAAGACAGCCAGGTCTATACAAAGAAAGCCTGTCTTAAATAAACCAACCAACCAATCAATCAAAGAACACCAAAGCCATAGGCTATGGGGATCCAGCCCGGTTTGGTGTGTTTTCCCTGCTATGAGCAAGTCATCTCCTCTGCCTAGACTCTTCACCTGTGTTTCATGGTGCCTGCCCCTCTCAGAGGAAGCAACATGACATGATCGTTAGGACCAGAGGCTCTGCCGTGGCGCTATTGTTCCTGGTCTGTGGCTTTGGGTGGAGGTGCCAGCCAGTCAGGTTCTAACCAGGAGAGAAACCACAGTTATCTGGGAATTTTCAGTGGACTGAATTATTTACTGAGTGGAGAATGTCTAGTAAGAACTGCAGCAGATCTGAAGAGTCCAAGTAGCCACAGAAATAAAGGAGCCGCTCTGACAAGGTTCAGGTGTGACTCCATAGATGACGAATTTTTTTCTTTTTTTTCTGAAAATCCGTCCTCTGAGGTTTGCCAGAATGCTGCCCAGGGATGTACAAAGTTGAGCCCCTCTGCTACAGCAGCAGTCAGGCGCTGGGAGGGGAGGTATGTGGGCTTTGCCTGGCCTGGCCCAGGAGCCTGCAGAGCTGTATCTCCCCAGCGCCCCCTACTGACAACGTTTAGCATTTTCCAGCAGCCTAAAAGGAGCCTCTACAAAGGGCTGGAATCCATTTTAACTGAGCAAATAAAAAAGGATTGATTTGGAGGTGAAAAGGAGAATACAATGAAGACCTGGCACAGTTGATTCTTTAGCATTGCCTCAGTTTCCTTAATTGCCAGATGCAAAGTAAGTTTAGTGCCTTCTGCATGCCGTTGCTATGGAAATAAAGAGGATGTGAGTGGAGTGTGTGAAAGGATGCCTGGCCCAAAGCAAATACACCATGAGTGTTTCCTGGCATGCACAGAGGTGGGAGGAGGCACACATGGGCCATGAGATGGTTGAGAGGGCTTGGCAGTGAGATGCTCCAAAAGGCCGTTGAAGGCTCGGCTTTGCGGCGGCTGGTCAGTGCTGTAAGCAGAAAGTCTTGTCAAAAAGTTTGGGTGGGGGCTGAGGAGGTGACTTCCTAGGTAGAGGCTTTCCCTAGGCCTAACAACTCACAGACTAGAAAGGAGAGCCAATTCACACAAGCTGTCCTCTGAACCTCCTCATGGGCACCAGGGCATGTGCTTGGCATACCCAGACACACATAAAAACAGTGAATTAGTAAGTAAATAAATGCAAAATGTTTGGAAAAAGTAAATCTTGGTTAGTTGGTTTTAGCTTTTTTTGAGATACAGTTTCATGTAGCCCGGGCTAATTCTGAACTCTCTGTGTAGTAGAGTCTGGCCTTGAACTCCCGATTGATCTGTATCCACTTCCCAAGCTTCCGGCTTCTTGTAAGCTTACACAGACTTTCCATGTTCCTGTCACCTTGGGAACCATTTCAAAGCAACTCGGCAAAGAGGCGTTTTTTTTTGTTTGTTTGTTTGTTTTGTTTTTTTAACAGTTAGGGCCTCTTCCGGTGCTCCAGTGAATTCCTATGTTCAGCTTAATCACTTTTTGAAAAATACACATTTTAAGTCAAATTTCTGATAGTTAAGGACAGTCTTTCTTGGATGAAGATCTCGAGACATCTGTCCTTACTTTTCTTTAGTATCTTCCGAGTATTTCCAAAGCTTTTCCCATGCATTCAAATTCAGGGCCCAGCTATTTCCAGACTTGTTCAGTGATCCTTAAGGAGGTGAATTTGGGTCAGCTAACATTTTAAAGAAAGAATGCTAGATGGAACCGAATTTTGCAAGAGTTCATAAAACACTCACCTTCAAGGCAGATTTGCTGCAGAGACTTCAAATACAAAGAAGGAAACGTCAACTGTAAATTAAATGGTACTGAAGAGTGTTTCCAAGGATGGTTCTTCACTAAGGTCCCAGGGAGGGAAAGTGGGTAGGAATATGGGGTCTGGTGTAGGGAACAGACCATTTCCTCTGGACCAGCTGGCTCAGCGCAAGGCAAACATCAAAACATCAAAATCTGGTTTCCTGTTGTGCTTGCTTTCTTGTTGTAGAATGTCTTCTAATACTGATGAATGAATTTGACACGGTCTGAGTTTCTCTTCTGTCTCAAAGTAGTAACAGAAACATATGATGTTATGATCAATATGGAAATCAAGGCCTGCAGAATTAAAACAACCATCCTTTCCCTTCTCTCGGGCACTGGCCACCATTTGCTGAGTAATTTTATTAAACTAGGGCCTCAAGAAAGACTCTAGAGGAATTGAAACGTCTAACTAGACTCTGCAATAGTAACTTCAGTAATCAAATTCTTCTCTGACTGTGGTTTATTTGTATCTGAGGATGGTTTGGGCCCAGGACAAAGACAAATTTTCGGTGATGCAGCAGGCAGGGGGCTGAGGGGCTTCTAAGGAAAGAGTCCTGAGTCCGGACCAGGTAACATTTGAAATCCTTGGAGATGTCCAGGTGGTAAGAGAACCGGGCTGTCTCCCGGTGGTCCCCAGGCCTTCCTGTGGAAGGAGCAATTCCGATTGGGGTTATGCATCCTGCCTGCCAGCTGGTAATGGAATAATGGGAAAACAATTGTCTTGGCTCTTCAGCCAGCGTCTGTTGCCAACCCAACTTCCTGGAAGTCATGAGCTCCCCGGGTGAGTCAGCAAATGCTTGCTCAGAAGAATGAGACTCTTTGAAAGAAGTACTTGGGAGGCAGTCAGTCATGGGAGAGTGGGGGAGATTTCTCTGTCTCACAAAGTCCCAACTTTTCAACCCTTACTGGCTCAAAAAAAAAAAAAAAACAGTCAGGCAATGGATCTGGCCTCTGAGTGTATCCGATGACCCACAGTCTGAGTATGAGGCACAGTGGATGCAGGGTGACGAGAGAGGAGGAGGCAGGATGTGTCTGCCCAGGAGGGTGAGCTAATCATTGGTACACGAGAGTTCTGGGTCAAGCAACTGAGAATGCGGTGGAAAAATGACTGCTGCAGGTTGATGGGAACTCGCTTGTGTGCACTCTCGCCGCCGAGGACGTGATCTGCGAAGCGATTGAAATGTGTCCGTCAGCAGATCCTGCCACATGATAGGGGGTTACTTGAATTCCTGCTTTCATCACAGTTGCCCACAAATGTGGAGCTCTGCAGAAACCTTTGAAATCTGCCATGACGGGCAGAAGCCGCTCATTCCTGGAATTGACTTGCTTTGGAAGTTCCTCTAGCTAGCTTTCTTCTCTTGCCCCATACTGCTGGGACAGGGCTGGCTCATGCTGCCAGAGCAGGCTATGCAACAGCTCCTTGTGATTCTGTGGCATACCCTCTCCCCCCCTCACACACACACTGTGACTTATTTTAGAGAGACAAGGCCCTCCATCAAGGCAGACGCTTAGTCACATGGACCGCAGCAATGACAACCTTGCAAGTCTCTTCAAAAGTCCAGGACTTTACTTCAAGTTACAGCTGTTGTCTCGGTTGAAGATTTGAGCTTAGGTCCTCATCTGGAGTGTGCACAGAGGAGGGGAGGAGACATGGAAATTGTCCCTGGACACATCCTGAATGGCACCTGCCTGGCCGTGGTGCAGCCAGAAAGGTGACTTCAGCTAGTAGCCTTCCTCCCAGATCTAAGAACCTCAGGACCTGGGAGGGGACCTGGGAAGGGATCTGGGAGGAGGAGACTTGGCTTTCTCAGAGCATCTCCAAAGAATGAAGCATTATTGAAAAAAAAACAAACAAACAAAAACCTTCTAAACTTCTTTAAAAGGGGGGATAAGAAAGTGACTCAGCAAACTGTTTGACATGCAAGTATAGGAACCTGAGTGCTATCCCTAGAACCCATATTTAAAAAAGCTAAGCCCCAGCAGCACACACCTGCAATCCCAGTGCTGGGGAGGAGGAGACAGCCAGCCTAGCCAAGACAGTGAGCTCCAGGCTTAGTGAGAGACCCTGTGGGCCTGCCTC